CCCTATTTTTAATGTTCATACAGAGATTTCTTTAACTGAAATACTGAATAGTTTCTTTGGTGTGAAAAACTATAATAGTACACAGGATCCTAATGAGATAATTAATAATGTGAAATAGGAAGTAAAGGGCTAAAGGTGTAGGGAAAGTGGGAAGGGTGGGGTAAAGGTAATAAGGGAGAGGAAAAAAATATGAGAAACTGAAAAAATGGAAATAAAGTGTTTCTAAATGGGGAGGGGAGGAGGGGGTGAAGGGAGGGCAGGGACAAGGGGAAAAAATGAGAATCAAGACCTATTATGTAAAGGTACAGAATCCCAATGATGAATGTAACTGTATTGTATACCTAGATTGTACCAATAAACTTAATTTAAAAAAAAAATAACACAACAACAGGAATAAGTCAATACAATAGCTTTCAATAATAACGCTCAATGTAAATGGACTCAACTCCCCAATTCAAAGAGACAGTTCAGTAGACTGGATCACAAAAACCAACAGTATGCTGTACGCAAGAGACAAATTTAATCTAAAAAGATATTTATCAAATAAAAATCAAAGGATCGAAAACAATATTCCATGCAATGGGAGCCTGAAAGCAAGTAGGAATAGCTTTTCTATTTGCAGACAAAGAGGACTTCAAGCCAAAACTGATTAGAAGAGGCAATGGTCACCACTCATTTTTTTAAAAAAAAGGTCACCACTCATTTGTTAAGGGAACAATTCAACAGGAAGAGACAGCAATTGTGAATATATATGTACCAAACCACATTTCATAAATACTTCTGGAAATAAAAGATCAGATAAATGTCAGCACAATCATAGTGGGGGACCCCAATATTCTACTAGACACAAAAAATCAACAGAGAAGTAAATATCAGAGTTGAACCATACCTTCAAACAAATGGACTTCACAGACATCTACAGTGTTCTATCAAACATCAACAGAATACACATTCTTCTCAGCGCATGGAACTTTCTCCACAACAGAACATATACTATCCCATTAAGCATGCTTAAATAAACACAAAATAACTGAAATTACCCATGTATACTATCAGATAACATGGCAATAAAACTAAAAATCAATGGCAAAAGAAACCACAGGAAATTTGCAAACTCCTGGACAGCATTCAATAACACACTCCTCAATACTCAATGGGTCACAGAAAAAAACCAAGAAAGAAATTAATTCCTAGACTCAAACAATAATGTTAGCACAACATAGCAAAACCTATGGGGACCCAATAAAAACAGTCCTCACAGAGAAGT